GGTAGTGCTGTAGATCAGTATGTCGTCGAGGTACACGATGACGCATTTATCCAGCAACGGCCGAAAGACCTCGTTCATGGTTAATTGGAATGTTGAAGGCTCGTTTGTTTAAGCCAAAAGGCATAACCGTGTACTCGTAACTCCCGTACCGGGTCCGAAACGCCGTCTTGTAGCGGTCAGCTTCGTTCACACGAATTTGGTGGTAACCGCCTCGCCAGTCAATTTTCGAGAAGAATTTGGCTCCGCGAAGCTGGTCCATGATTTCATCGGCACGCGGGATAGGATAGCGAGACTTCATGGTAACCCAGTTCAAGGCGCGGTAGTCAATACACATTCGTAGACCGTCATCTTTCTTCGGTGTGAACAGTATGGGAGTTGCAAACGGTGAGGTGCTAGGGCGAACGAAACCTTTCTCGAGCAGGTAGTACAGCTGGCGTCAAAGTTCATCCAGCACGGGCTGAGTCAACCGCCATTGAGTCCGAACAGTAGGCTTCGCGCCGGGCTCCAGCTCGATTTTGTGGTCATGTTCTCACTCAGGTGGCAAACCCGTTGGTAGGTCATCTGGAAAAATGTCGACGTGTTTCCGAATCACCATCGCCAAGTCATTCAGGACAGCTGCGCAGAGTTGTCGATGTTGGTTGGCTTGTCGACAGCCGTTGATGCGATCCATCGGACAGCATATAGTTGCACCCCTCGAATCATGGCTCGCTTGATTGTCACTGCACTGACCGTCGATGTGGTCGAATCTTGACAGCTCCACTTGGGTAGGCGTCGCTACTCGCCACTCCATTTGATGCAACAATCGCCCGTCTGCCAGTCAATGCTCGGGTTGTATTCTCAGAGCCAATCGCGTCCCAGCAGCATGTCGCAGCCGTCCAAAGTTGTCGCCAGCATCTTCGTCGTGAAACTGAAAATTTTGCCGCAAATTACTCGCACGTGAGGTACCTGCTCCCGAATTGCAAGTGGTGTGCCGTCAACCAGTCGCGCGTCGATTTCAAGCGCGCAGCGCTCCAGCTGCAATCGCAATTTTTTCGCCTTTGTAACGTCCATCAAACAGAGGCTCGCCCCACCATCAACAAATCTTCTGATGCGGGTGTCGCCAACTCTTCCTTCAACCAGCACAGGGCGATCAACCGGTTCACCCCCCTTATTTAGCCAGGAATGGTTGATAGCCCAAATCGGCACTATAACCTGGTGGGGGTGGTGGCGTTTGGGCGACGTAGTCAAGTCAGTAGGTGGCCCATCTGCTACTGACGATCTTCATTTCCCGACTGCTTCTTCAGCTGCGAGCAGTCCCTCACCATGTGACCCAGCTGGTTGCAGTGGAAGCACATTCCCGAAAATACTCGGGCTGCAAACACGTCCACGCCGTTGATTGATGTGTGTTGGGGCTGGGCTTGAAAGTGATTTCCCTCCCAGAAACCCGCTCTCGCGAGTCCACGTCGTGCGTACAGCGAGTCTGCTATGCGAACTATTTTGTTGAATATCGCCGAGGCTCGCAGGACGATCTCTTGTTGAATCTCTGGCTTGAGACCACCCACGCAGCGATCGATGCGCTCGTCTTTGCAAAGCCCTCCGATTCGGTCGCAGATTGCCAGAAACGACGCCGTTTATTCTTGGACAGAGCCCAACTGTCTCCACGTCCGAAGCTTTGTGCGAGCATTTTCGAGCATGGATATGTGCTCGAATCTGCCCTTCAACGCTTCACCCCACGCTTTCCATGTGCGGATCGTGGCCGAACCAAAGATCGGTTCTGCCTTCGCCGTTGATGAACTTGTTGAGACTAGAAAGAAAAATTAGAAGAAGCGAGAACAGGGGAGATATAGCGTTTGGGTTGAACCCACTGAGAACATACCCTATCTAGCCTATAACTTCTACATAACAATATATGTATAAGTTGACACACCCCCTGGGCTAGATAAGGGGTAGTGCTGAGTAAGAAACACGCAGCTCAGGGTGGCACTACTAGTCCAATCTCTGAGGCAGGGGCCCGAAGACCAGTCAGCAAGAGTACAAGCAAGACAGAGCAAACCAGGGCGGCATTACTAGTCCAACCACTGGAAGAAAGGCCACAAGGCCAGTCAGAAAGCATAAATAGAAAGGAGTACACAATCAAGGGCCTAGCAAGTGAGAGTCAACAGGGACTATACCTAACTGCAAGCAGTGCCGCTGATGATCTCTAGGCGGAAGTGCCTTAGTAAAGATATCAGCTGTGTTGGCACCGGAGGCCAAGTGTACTACGCGAGCCTGGCGACGCTGCTGAAGCTCGCGCAGGAGGAAGTACCGCAGCTGGATGTGCTTCGCTCTGCCCTCAAGTCGAGGCTCCTGACACAGAAAGATCATGGCCCTGTTGTCAGCGTACAGAACCGGGGCAGAGCTAGGCCACTCACCTAAGTCGGCAAGCAAGAAGGTCAGCCAGCGGAGCTCCTGTGCCACCATGGCACCGGCGTAGATCTCAGCTTCGTAGCTCGACTGAGCAACAGACGAGGAGCGAGTGGACCTCCACGAGATGGCACCAGAACCAAGGCTGAAGCAGTAGCCCTGGGAGGACCGGAGGGTCTCAGCGTCATCTGCCCAAGAAGCGTCTGTGTGCCCAGTAAGGACCACTGGCCTGCGTCCTCCCTGTACTAGTCCCATGCCCAATACACTTGCAAGATAACACAAAACCCTCTTAGCGGCCGACCAGTGCTGTGGTCGGTGTCTGCCTGTGGCCACAAAGCGGGCCATGATGCTGAGAGGGTATGCGAGATCTGGACGAGTGCAAGTCATCAGGTACATGAGGCAACCCACCAGCTCTGCATATAGACCACTGGGCTCTCCTGACTCCTCGGGAACTAGAGATGAGAGCCTGTGGTCTACCGGGAGAGGTGTGGACTGTGCGGAGGAGAACTGGAGACCGAACCTTTGAAGGACCTGGCGCACCAAGTGTGACTGTGTAAGAGAGATGGTGCGCGCTGCTATGTTCAAGGTAGCGGCGCAGCTCTCCTAGGTCAGTGCAGGCGTGTCTCCTCAGCAGCTCAGCCTTCACGGAGGCCAGCGCGTCTCTGTCTGCTGTAGCAAAGACCAGGTCGTCTACATAGACAAGGATGTAGAACGGAGTCTGGCCAGCATGAACGAAGAGCGAAGGGTCAGCAGAGGACGGAAAGAACTGCAGGTCAGCTAGTGTGGCAAGCAGCGTGTCGTGCCACTCACGGGGCGCCTGTTGCAAGCCGTAGACGGGGCGCCAGAGGAGCCATTGGGTCCCAGGAGGGAATGTACCGGTGAAGCCCTGAGGACGGCGCAGGTAGACCTACTCGTGTAGGCTGCCCTGAAGGAAAGCAGTGGAGAAGTCGAGGGAGTGAAGCTCGTAGTCACGCTGAGCTGCTACGCGTAGAAGCGCCCAAAGAGTAGTCATCTTCGGGATCGGGGCAAAGGTCTGAAAGAAGTCCACCCCTTCTCGCTGACTGAAGCCTCTAGCCACGTAGTGCGCCTTGAACACAAGCGGCTCTCCAGGGGGGCGCTTCACCTTAAAGAGCCACCGGCCATCGACTACGTTCACCCCAGGTGGGGGAATTGCGTCGATGTAGGTGCCGGTAGCCCTTCAAGATGCCATCTTCTGCTCCATGGCAGCTATCCACTAAGAGGCCCAGGGTCCCGAGGTTGCCTCAGCGTAGGTGCGAGGGGTCAGGATGTCAAAGGCGTCGGGGTCACCCTCAAGGACTAGCTGCATGGAACAGAGATGGGGAGCAGCCTCTGACAGGAAAGCAAGCTTGTATTGCCGGTCCTCCAAGACGTCACTTTCGAGGGCAGGAGCACCCCCGACGAATGGAGGACAGACAGGGTCAAAGACCAGAGCGGTGGCGTAGTCAAGGCGGCGAGTAGAGGCAAAGTCAGCGACAACAGCAACAAGAGCGTCAAGACTGGAGACTGGAACAGACAGGCCGGTAACGAGGGAGGCAAGGACCCGAGGAACAAGAGGACGAGCAGCACAAAGGTAGTCAAACAAAGGGGGAGGCGCGACAGTGAGCGACGACGGAGGAGGCAAAGGCAAACGGGGAGGGCGAGACGCGTGGGAACGAAGCAACATAAGGTGAGAATGCTGAACAGGAGAGACAGGATGAACACGAGAGGGACGGCGAGACTAGACGTGAGACGGAGGCGTCGGGTCAGGAGACAGAGGAGGAGTAACAGGAGGGGAACGAGAGGGGAAACGAGCCGGGGACGAGTCCGGCGGAGGAAACACAGGACCGTGAAGAGGAAGAGGGGGAGACGGCGAGGGAGGCGCAGGGGAGCGGTTAGGGGAGGGAAGGCCGAGCAGGCGAAGGGCGGACACCGGCGGCGACTGCTGCTGCTGCTGCTGCTCAACGCCGACACCTGGACCACCAGCTGCAATACCGCTACCTCCGGTACACTCCACACCAGCACCCCCAGAACGAGAAACGTCTCCAGTGCCGGTGCCACCCCCTAGCCCGCCGGGACAAGCCACGACAGGAGCCTTAGGACTAGCACCCTCTCTAACTCCAGCACCCCCAGATTCCACGAACGGCTGCAGCTGCGGCGGCCGTGACGGCGGCGGCTGCGGCTGCGACTGCGACGAGGGAGGAGGAGACATCGGGGGAGGGACAGGCGGCGCAAATTGCGCCGTGGGGCCACCGAAGTCAGCCAACTCCTCGATCGGGACAACCGACGGGAGGGGAGTGACGTGAGACACACCGGACGAAGCAAGACGGGGAGGGAGGGGAGCAGGGGCGACCGGGGGAGTGGGAACCAGAAACAGGGGGGGGAGAACCGAGAGACCTCGGTGAGGAAAGCGGTGGAAAAAGGAGACAGACTCGTCAAAACTGACGTCACGGGAGTGAAGGAAGCGGTGAGACGGCGTGTGGTAGAAGTTCCAATCAGACGAGTCAAGGGGGAAACCTAGGAAGACACAGGGGACGGTGCGGGCAGTGAGCTTGTCCATGCCAGAGGGACGAATGTGAGCGAGGCAGCCCCAGACGTGGAACGCAGACGCATCACCAGGG